AAATTACTGTAATATAGTTTTGCATGTAATTGTGTAACCACCTTAAGTCTCTTCTCATGCTCTTGCATGAGAAGAGACTTAAGGTGGTACACCACTAAAAAAACAGTGATTTTGGAGTAAATTTTCAAAATTAAGTTTTTGGACTTGTTTTTTTTCCAAATTTTATCCTTTTTCATTTGATATAACCATCTTATATTGTTTAATTTCATAAAACACTTTAAAAATGCATTTTTCTAAAGTTGTTGAAAATTTTGACCATAGTCAACGTCTTAGCAACAGAATAAAAAACCCTTAAAATCTATGCTCAAGCTTGGCTATGCTAGGCTTCTTTTTTATGGAATATGCTTAGGCTATGCTAGGCTTCTTTTTTATATTCGTAAAGTTTTGAACTATACTTTACTTACTAAGTTTTGAACTATACTTTAGTACTTACTAAGTTTTGAACTTTTGAAGTTTTGAAAAAAACTTTTGAAGTTTTGAAAAAAAACTATACTTAGTACTTACTAAGTTTTGAACTATACTTTAAAGGTACATTTGTTTTGTGACAATTTAAATAGTTGTTGTTGTAACTTTTACATTGTAATATCAATTTACTTTGATATTTACTTTGTCTGAGATATATTTGTTAATATGATTTAATAACTTTAGCTTTATATTTAGTGTATATAAAAATGAGTTTAGGAGGAAAAGAAACCTACATCAAAAATATAAAGTTTGCAACAAAAAAAAACCTTTCTAGAAAAAAGCATAGAAAATGGAACTGTGTTATACCAAATAGAGTATCTTGTAAGACCTCAAATTTTATTCAACCCTCTTGTTCTAGCGTGGTGCAGGTATTGGAGTAAAACAAAGCAGTATATACCATCAAATTCAATTCCAGTCTAGATGAAAAACCTGCTAATACCAATTTTTAAAAGCTTACAAGGCAATCAACTGCTATCTAAATGCCTTCATGGTAAGACACAAAATCCTAATGAGTCCTCGAATGCCCTCATATGGTCTAGAGTTCCAAAAAGCACTTTTGTCAGTAGAGAAATAGTTGAAATGGGAACTTACTCTGCTGTTATTTATTTTAATGATAGTAGTGAAGGTATTTTGGATGTTTTAAATGAGTTCAATTTGACTGGGTATATAACAGTAATGACATCTATTCAGTTTGACAATTCTCGTGTGAATCAAATAAAGCGAAAATCGACACAATACCATGTGTATAAAGCAAAGAAAAAAGTTAAGATCAATAACCAAAGGGTTCAGTGATAAACAAAATTTAAATGAAACTAATCAGTCATATGTTTTTGGTGGACATTAACCAAGATTTTACTGAAAAAAACTTTAAATGTGTTTTTTACAGTTTTTCATTTTGTAATACTAGGGTAACTTTGAAACATAATATCTTTGTATTGGGTAATGATTTTTGCCTGAAATTTTCAGGGTATACTCAATATACTCAAAAAATTCGGTTAACAGATAAAAAATTCTTCTTAAATATTTTTAAATAAAGAAATTAGTTCACATGTTAAGTCAAGTTACTTAGAATTTCAAGCATATTTTTAATAATTCGTAATAAAACTTAAAATATGTTCTTAAATTAAAAATCTATCTGTCAACCGGAATAAAACATTATAATGCAACAATATACTAAGTTTGAACTAGAGAAAATGTATATAACAGAAGATATCACGTCACAAAGTTATTGAATTTTATGCATTTTTTAAGCAGTTTTTCCGCCATTATGGATGTAAAAAAAAACTTTTAGAAAAAAATTTCATTTCAAATATTTTTTTTTATAAATTTATAATCAGAAAAATATTAGTTTTTGGTTTTATTCCTATTTTAAATTGAAAAAGTGCTTTTTAGTGGTGTACCACCTTAACTGAATTGCATTTATAATTTCTCAAGTTTCTTGAAAGCTAACCCATCAATTCATTAGGGTTTTAGAAAAAGTACTCTGACCTATACGACCAGTTACTGTATGTATAGACCATAGATCTTGTTTTAACTTGTTTATTATCTTGATTAAAAATAAGTTTAAAAGGAATGCTATGGACAAGACAACAGGTTACAAAGTTGTAAGATTTAAGACGTTTGTAGAATTTAAAACTAGAGTTTGTGAACTGATTTAAAAGAATTAATTAATTGTAAGAATTAATTAATTGTTCAGTCTTTTCATAAATAATACTAAATTAATCTCTAGAATTGCTAATTTTTATTATAACATCCTATAATACTTATTAATAAAGACTTTTATTATAACATCCTATAATACTTATTAATAAAGACTTTTATAATTCGGATGAGGCATAATTTGCTAAGAAAGCTACAACCTAATCATTTTCTACAGATCTATTTTGCCAACTTTTGATCTGGACAAATGATTTTATTGGTTAACTTTGAAAGACAGTCTGCAGTATCTAGATCAGTACACCTCAACCATTTAACTGAGCAACAATTGGTCTTAACAAATAGATTTAAAAAATAGCGCTGCAAATACTATTCAACCAACTGCAATTAGTATTCAACCAACAGCAGTGGTTTGTGGTGGAAAAAAATTAAAGTAATAATTTTGATTAAACTATAACTTTAATCGAAATTATAACAATAAAACTCTGTTCCTCGATCGAAAGTTCTAAGCAAAAGTCAATAAAACCCTTTTTTCATGAACAAGTACTTAAATGACATAAACTTCTGTCAAATTTTCCAATACAACAAGAACTTAAGTTTTGTTCAATAGACATGTCAGGATATAGATAATTTAAAATAACTCTTGTTTTATTTTCAATTCTAACTTTCGTCTTCTAACAATTCTATTCGATGTTAGTGATTAACTTATGTAAATTAAACTTTTGAATTCAATTTAGAGAGATTGGTTCGTAGAATAAAAATACACTTACTAAAATTAGCATTACGCGGCAAGTTAATTTACGGACCCTAATATTGCTTTTAAAATATCAAAGATTTTGTAGACCTAACTTAGCTCATAAAAACTAGATGATTTTAGTTCAGAGAAATTTCTTCAACATGGTTTTCATTGTTTCTTGAAGTGCAAAATAAGCACTTTCCAATTAAAAAAAAAAACAACAAAAAAAAATTTGCCCACGTTAAGTTTTAGGGCTTCAAATAAATTTTATTTTTAGGTATTTCACTTTTGTTGCCATATTGGTTTCATAATAACTCAACATAAGCAATTTTTAAAAAGCTGTAACGTCAAAATCTTCAAAATACTGAAAAACCTATTGTCGTTTAGATACAACCCTACAAAAAAACAATAAAAATTTATGTTGTTGAATTATTTGTTGAACCATAGACTTTAGTCTATGGTTCAACAAATAGCGTCACAAATTCAACAACATAAATTTTTATTGTTTTTTTGTAGGGTTGTATCTAAACGACAATAGGTTTTTCAGTATTTTGAAGATTTTATGTACTAATATAATGATATGGATAAAAAATCAGCTTTTTAAAAATTGCTTATGTTGAGTTATTATGAAACCAATATGGCAACAAAAGTGAAATATCTAAAAATAAAATTTATTTGAAGCCCTAAAACTTAACGTGGGCAAATTTTTTTTTGTATAGGCATGATATAAAAGTTGTATAAAATAAATTGCAACTGCACCTTTGGTTTATTAAGAATCCACAATTTTAAGATATATATCCGTTTCATTTCAAAAGTATAAGACACAAAAATACGATTTTATATTTGCTTATGTTGATATTGAAATTATATGTTGAAAAGAAAATTAATCCACCTGTTATAAATACTGTTGATAATACTAATATAAGATATTTTAAGCTTCCATTTATTGGATTTTACTCAAATTTGACTAAAACTAAAATTGATAAAATTATTAAAAAGTATTGTAAAAATGTAATAATCAAATTTATATTCACAACCGATAAATTAAAAAACAGTTTTTGCATAAAAGATCCACTTCCTAAGATGCTTAAATCTAACGTTGTCTACAAATTTTCTTGTGCTGGCTGTAACGCCAGTTATATTGGAGAAACCTCCAGACATTTGACAACAAGGATAAATGAGCATCTTACAAGTGACAAGCAATCACATATTTTAAACATTTAAGTTCATTCATTAATTGTAAAACACTAACTAGTTATGATTGCTTTCAGATTTTGGATACTGCCTCTACCATTAACAAATTAAAAATAAAAGAAGCACATCATATTAAGGGTGGTCCTTAAAACAACTTTATTTTATGTCTGCTCCCACCTAAATGTACTTTTTATAATAAAATAATACTGGAAATAAAAAATTTTTGAAAAAAAATTATTGTTAGGGGTAGCTCAAGACCTTTAAACATTACACGGGTCACTATAATTATCAAAACAAAAGTTCTTAAAAAGTATATCATGTTGGATCTCAAAAGAAGCGAAATTATATTAAAACTTTAAAAATAATCATCATTTTATAAAAAAAATTAAAAAAAAAAAAATTACAATAAATTTTTTTTGTAAAAATGCATATTTTTAGTTTTTAGTTTAAAAATGTTATTTTGTAAGCCGTGAAATGTTAAATAATAATTTTTATAAAATAATGATTATTTTTGAAGTCTTTATATAATTTCGCTTCTTTTGACACCCATTATTATATATTTTTGAAGAACCATTTTTTTTGATAACTATAGGGACCCGTCTGATGTTTAAGGGTCTTGATCTACCCCTTAAAATATTTTTTTTCAAAATTTTTTTAATTCTAGTATTATTTTATTATACAAAATACATTTAGAGGGTGGGAATAGACATTAAAAAAAAAAGTTGTTTTAAGCAACCCTAATATATATATATATATATATATATATATATATATATATATATATATATATATATATATATATATATATATATATATAAATATATATATATTTATATATATATATATATATATATATATATATATATATATATATATATATATATATATATATATATATATATATTCATGTACTTTTAACGTCTATTTTAAATGTAAATGCAATACATACGTTTTTATCTCTAAATTGGGGCAATCTTTTCGTTTATGACCTATTTTGCCACAACAATGACAAGAAAAATCAACTCTACAGAAAAAAAAATAAAAAAAATAAAGAACAAAAAATATGCAATTTAACATTTTTTCAATATGAAAGTAACTTTTAGAATACTAGCAAGATTACAATAAAGAATAAATTATGCAAAAAAAAAAAAATATACTGTATCTGGCATTTATGGTTTATAGATTCACATCTGCTGCATGTCATACAATGAATTCGATCTAATAATAAAATTATCACAATATTATTCATTATATAATAGGCCTTGCAATGAATGACACGTGAAACATGCCTGTAAATGAACTTCCGGCGTGACAAATAGCGCTCGCTAGTTTCGTTACGAGAGTAAAAAATTTTATTTATTTGGTTGATCTATTAGCGCTATTTGTCGCGCCCAGAAGTTCATTTAGGGGCGTGTTTCACGTGTCAGAGCGATCGCTCCTAATTCATTGCAAGGCTTGATATAAACATTAATAGAATAAAAAATATTGCGCTTATAATATCCTTATAGTTTATAATAACATAATATCATTTTAGCTGTGAGTTAAGTTTCAACTTAAAGTTTCAATTTAGCTGTTTGTAAATTGTTTGTTGGCGTGTTTTAACTTTTGTAAATTTTTAATAAATCCTTTGTTTTTGAAACCTTTTATTTTCTTTTGCTCTATTTTCTTTTCTAAAATTTCTAAAATTGCCCTTTATGTGAATATAGTTAATTATACTTATGTGATTTTGAAACCTTTTATTTTCTTTTGCTCTATTTTCTTTTCTAAAATTTCTAAAATTGCCCTTTATGTGAATATAGTTAATTATACTTATGTGATTACATAGTACAATTAACTCAAAAAAAAAAAAAGGATAACTTGTAATATAAGAAATTAAAACTTTATTGAAAATAATCATGAAAAAGAAAAAAATCTTGCCAAAGTAAAGAGCACTACTAAAAAATTTCATTTACAAAAATTTATTTATTTAAATATAGATACTATGTTTACATATTTATAAAATTAATTTACTAGGGATAATTTTTTGAGTAATGGGAAAGTCAAAGCAATTGTCACAAGACAAATGAAAATGTTGTATAGAGGAGGATTCCTTAAAAGCAAATTTCTGAGTTATATGATGTGCTTAAACCAACAATAAGCATGAAAGTAAAGTGATATCTTAACTTGTATACTAATTGTTGATTTAAGCCCATAGACCGTAAGACACTTGAAAAAAGCATGGTTCAAATAGGCCAAAGATAAATACAGAATATCAAAACAAAATTTTATTAAGACAATCAAAACAATTTCTTTGCAAAAGTGCAGACAAAGTAAAAAGCATTAAGCAAGAATTATGGTGTTAGGTGCAGCATAGATACACAAACGATCAGCATCAGTTTAGAGCCATTTTAAAAAAATGGAATAATACAAAATAATTTCAAAATATTAGGAAATGTTCCATTTATGAACGAGGTATTAAATATTTTAGAAAGAATATTTAAAATTCATAATTAAAATCTATAAGAATGTTTGTTGGAATGCTATTTGAATCTGATGATTTTCTTGGATTCAATTTAGATAGAAGATGAAATTTCAGGAATATTTGTTAGAGATAATAGTAAACTATGTAAATTTGGATATTTAAGATACTTATGATGGTTGACATAAAATGAATAAATATTGGATTTGAGTTTATTAGCAACATTTTTAAAATAAGTCACAAATGTTTCAGAGATAAGAATTGGGTCAATTATGTATGTTTATATATAATTGATGAATTATATATGTTTATATATAATTGCATATGTTCCATTTTTTTGTAAACAGTTGGGAGATGACTTATTAGGATTTTTGGTATTAATTAGATTATTTATGCCTCACCAAAGCTTGCGAAGAATTTTTTTTAAATGGATTTTTCTAATAAGTTTAACTGATGTAGTTATCATATATTTTATCTCTAAAAAATCTTTCATAATTATATTCACAAGAACTTTAGATCCTAATAATTTTTGTAAAAAAAAATTGCGCACTTGAATTTTATAATTCTTTTATGATATTTGTGATGGTTTTATGTTTAAATCCTTAAAGTCTTTTTGTAACAACGATATGTTTAGGAAAAAAAGTTTAAAGCATTCATTTTAATAAAGTTAAGTGTAGAGAATTTGTTTATATCATAATATTTACAAACTAATGAAGAGATTTCTTCATTAGAATCTAAAACACAAAACATAATCATTAATTTGATTAGAAGCCTTATTTAAATGAAAAGATTTGTAGACAGAGCAAATCATCAGTTATAAGAATTTTATCAGAAGAAAATTTAAATATGTTTTCAGGTACATCAGTGAATAGGAAGACACTTTTAGTACACAATGTCATAATTAGCAACAAAAATAGTAGTAAAATTTACTCAGTATCATTGAACCTGTTGCATTTTTTATGAGTCTAAAACAAACAAACATTACACTGATTTGGTAAACATTACAATGACTTGGTGGTAACTTTGATTTTTTTTTTTTACATTAAAGACAGTTAAAAGCTATAGTAGAACTGCAATATTAGAGAGAATGTTAAAAACAAATAAGTTAACAATAATAGTAAAAATAAAATAATACTAATAAATAAGATTATTAGGAATAAATGCGATAACTACATCGAAACACTAACAGTTATGATAAGAAGTATTAATAATGATAGCATAAACAATAATGCAACAGCCAAACAATATAGTAAAGTATAACAACAAAATATTGATTTAAGTTATAAACTTAAATTAAATGAGTATAAAACTAAATAAAAGTTAAGAGAAACGAAAATTAACCTTTAGTGTATTTATATAAGCATTTGCTCACTTTTTTTGTTTATTTTAATCAATATGGCTCTTTTCAGAAAAAGAAGAAAAAAACAAAACAAAGAATAATAAATGAAAAGATTGCTGCGCCATGTCAAACCGTCAGTCAATGTAGCAGCACTTCGCTGCCAGTCAGGCTATTTGTCCGTCGATGTATGTACTGAAGCCCCCTGCAGCAGGCTATATCAGTATGACATCAGACTGCTTACCTAAATCAACAGTATAAAATATATAAGTACCACATAAATGTTTCAAAGAATCAGTAAAACTGATTCTTTGAAAAATTTATGTGGTACAGTGGCCAGCCCTAATATATATATATACATGTATGTATATATATATATATATATATATATATATATATATATATACACATGTATATATATATATATATATATATATATATATATATATATATATATATATACATATATATATACATATATAAATATATATATATATATATATATATATATATATATATATATATATATATATATATATATATATATATATATATATATATAAATATACATCTCTCTTCAAAATTGAAGTTTGTAGTATGTGTTTCTATTGAAACTTTGCCAACAACAAAAAAAAAGATATTCGTTTGACGTGTTGAACACACCAGCTGTACATTTTGCTTGGTGTGTTAATAGGATCGTTTAGTGATTGTAGACTGGCTCGTGCAAAAAGACGTTTCACTGTTCCACCAACACCATCACAAGGGCTTTTACCATGCGATGTTGCAAAAAAGTGCCACTCTGCAGTCATGTCAAAATCGTGTTTATGGTAGCATAAGTTGATAAGATTTTTGTAATTTTTATATTGTGATGCAGCTCCATCACTATATAGATAATGTGTTCAAATGTTTGTAATTGTTTAAGTTTATCAATAACATTACCGATAAAGCAATGAACAGCATCTGTTCCATGTTTCAGATGATCTGATATAACACAATAACTTTGACTATCAAGTTTTCCATCTTTTTTAAAATACGCAAAAAAGGGGTGCACAGTTGCTTGGCTGTTATTCCAGTGAAAACCTTGCACTGCATCCTGTATTAGAAAACTATAGTTTTCTGCAAAGTCAAGAAGAACAAAAGCTTGATTTTCTTTTAAATTAGTTTTCAAATGTTGGTAGTAGGTGGCTTGATTTTTGGATATAAAATGATGCTCTCGTAAACTATCTAACTGTTCATAAACCATTTCAATAAATTCATCTAAAGGTAGAGTTGCTGGTACTAAAGTACATTGGTAATTTGATTTTTGCCATTGATAAAAGTTAACTTCACTAATTTCATTTTCTGTAAACAAAGTGTCAATGTAGTCTAACAAAACCTTTTTAGCAGGACATTTATCGCAGCTATGCAGCATACAATCTCTATTTTAAATGCTACAAACCATTAATTTCAATAAGATTTTGTAATCAGCAATTCCAGGAATTTTCTGTACAAGGAGTTTTACATTTTGATGGTACTGGCAAACAAAAACTGCATGCAGACCAGAAGCACCACCCACAGGAATGCACTACTTGGGCCTTAGCTCACAAAATTTTGAAAATTCAACTTTAAGATAATTATATTTCTTTTTAAACTCAATATGTAGCTCTTTCATATTGACTAGTAGAAGTCGCTTTTGGATATGTTGCTTTATACTATCTACTTTAACTGAAACAAACTCTTTTTTTCCTGGACAAACCCTTAAATATTCATCGCATTCATAGAAATGAACAATCTCTGTAATTACATCTTTGCTTAGTTTTCTACCCAATTTTGGAGAAGGTTTTGATAGTATTCCACTTTTTTTCCTTAATTTTCTGGCTTGTACTACAGATCTTTTTGAAGTCAAAAAAAACTTCTGAGTTTTCTCTATTGACCAACTGTCTGGAGTGAGTGTAAGAAGTGTGATTTTTTCAAAATTTGACAATGTTTTTTCAAATTTTGACTTAATTTGAGTCATAATATTGTCTAAATCTGTGTTTGTTTTTTTCAAACATTTTTTTGAGGGTGATTCAATTCCAACAAGTGCAGCTATTTCTAAACCTAGCACATTGGCAACAGCCTTTTGTGTATGATAGCTCTTACGCTATCAATTTTACGCTTTCCATATGCAACTCTATCTTTTTTTGAAACAAGTTTGAGAGTAGAGCATTCAAAACTTGCAATACTTGAATTAAGATCTTCTTTTAATGTATGGTTGTCAACATAAATTTCTTTTTCTTGGACTTCATTTTCTTTTGTATTATGTTTGCAATTCAGAACTTTTCTGCAACTAGTGCAAATTTTTTGACCAGGTATTAAACCGAAATCTTTCGCATATGAAAGACTGATAACTCTAAGAGAATCTAAAAAATAACGGAAATAATTATTAAATATTGTTTTTTTTAT